ATCATGATCCTAGACAAAGTTCCTACCAGGTAACATTCAGCCACAGTACTCTCCAAACAATGGGAGAAGGCAAAAACAATTTAAAAAGTACAGCATTCAAAAATAAAGACTAGTACAGATATCAACATCTAGAATTATAATCATCCAAAACCTAGATGCCTAGACATCAATGTAAAAATAAAAACAATAACAACCAGAACTCTATGACTCCAGTAGAGGCCCACAACACTACTGCAGTAGCTCCTGAGTATTGCAACATAACTGAAGCACATGACAAAGATGTTAACAAACGATTTATGAAAATGATAGATGTCCTTATAGATGAAATGAGTAAATCTCTTAAAGACATCTGAAAACACAAATAAGCAATGGAAGAAAATGAATAAAACAGTTCAAGATGGGAAAGTGGAAAAAAAATCAGTAAAGAAATCCCTAACTGAGGAAGATCTGTAAATTAAAAATGTAGGAAGTCAAACAGGAACCTTAGATTCAAGTCTCACCAACAGAATATAAACCATGAAAAAAAAAGAAACTTGGTCACTGAACACAATAGAAGAAATAGACACCTTAGTTAAGAAAATGTAAAATCTGAAAAACTCCTGCCCCAAAACATTCAGGAAATCTGGAATATTATGGAAAGACCAAATCTAAGAATAATTAGAATAGTAAAGGAAAATCAGGTCAAAGGCACAGAAAATATTTAAACAAAACCATGCTAGGAAATTTCCCTCATGTAAAGAAAGAGACATCTAAAATTGTGTAAGAAGTAAGCACAACACCAAGAAGACTAAACCTGAAGGAAAATTTCCTTGGTACAGAATAATCAAAATAGTGAATGTATAAAACAAAGAAATTGAAAGCTGAAATTGAAAATGATCAATTAACCAATTAGCACATAAAGGCAGAGCCTAACACTTGAGTTCTCTGTGGAGTCTTTAAAAGTCAGAAAGTCATGGGCAGATGTTATACAGATTCTAAGAGACCTTTGATACCAAGCCAGGCTACTATAGCCAGCAAAATTTTCAGTTGCCATAGATGGATAAAATAAGAAATGTGAGGATAAATCTAAATTTTAGCAATAACTGTCTGTAGATATTCCCCTAAAGAAGGCACTACAGATATAATGTAACCTAAAGAGGTTTCCCACACCCTAGAAAAACAAGAAATAAATAATTCCAGTTGAACAAATCGAAAGAATAAAAACACTCTTGCCAACACCGATACAAACACGGCCAGTAATATTAACACAAACAACACAATAAAACAACTAAATAAAATAAATCAACAATCATTTACAATTAATATCTCTCAATCTCAGTTATTGCAATTCCACACAAAAAAATACACACATTGATAGAATGCATGTGAAAACAGAATCCATTCCTCTTCTGCATTCAAGAGAAATGCCTTTACATCAAGGATAGACATCACTTCTTGTAAAAAGACCAGAACTATATATTACAAGAAAATGTACCTAAGAATCATGCTGTTGTAGCCATTTTAATATCTGATAGAATATACTTCAAAGCAAAATTAAATGAGAAGAAATAGGAAGAGACACTACATAGTCATCAAAGTAATACTCCATGTACATGATGTTCCAATTCTTAACATCTACACACTAAAACTAAGAACACACAAGTACATAAATAAAACAATCTACATCTTAAATGACATATTGACCTTCAAACATTGATAGTGGAAGACTCAATGTCCCCCCTCTCATCAGTGGACCTGCAATGCAGACAAAAATTAAGTGGAAAAGTGCTGACTTGCTGATAAGAAAATCCAAATGGGCCTAAGAGGTACTTTTAGAATATTTCATTCAAACATGCACAAAAATAAAATACCTTTCTTTCAACAGCTCATCTGACTTTCTCCAAAATTGACCACACACGCAATAGATACAAGAAAAAATGAAATAGCACCATGCATCTACTCTGAAAACCATGGTTATGCCTGGAATCAACAACAACAGAAACAGGAGAAATTTTACAAACCCATGGAAAATGAAGGACTCACTACTGAATGAAAAATGGGGGCTGGGGAGATGGATCAGTGGTTGGGAGCACCCACAAGGCAGTTCACAACTGTCCCTTGGGAAAAGACTACTGGACCACTCATCTCCAGTACATAAAAAATGGTTTAAGACATAAATTAAAACCTTTCTAAAATTGAATGAAAATGAATACAAAGCATATGAAAATTGAGCATAGGAAACAGTGAAAACAATTCAGAGAGAGAGAGTTCATAGCCCTAAATGTCTACATGAAAAAAGAAGAGATATCTCATGCTACTAACATAACAGCACACATGAAATCTGTAGAAAAAAAAAAGAAATCACACCCAAAATTGGACAGCAAGAAATAAATGAACTCAAGGCTTAAATCCATAAATAGAAACAAAAACAAATATAAATCGCAGAATCAATGAAACAAGAGTTATTTCCTTAACAAAATCATTAAGATTGAAATACCCTTGTCCAAACTAATTAAATTTAGTGAGAAAAATTCCAAACTAGCAAAATTAAAAATGAAAAAGATGACATAACAACAGACAACAAGGAAATCCACAGAATCATAAAGACATACTTAAATAACTTGACTCCACTTAACATGAACAATTAAAGACACAGATAATTTTCTCAATGCATACCACTTACCAAGGTAGAATCAAGATCAGATAAACAATTTAAACAGATCTATAGCTCCTCATGTAATAGAAGCAATCATTTGAGCTCTTCCAACCAAAAAATACAAAAGAGAAAAACCTCATAACCAAATGGTTTTAGTACATAATTTTACCAGAATTTCACAGAAGACTTAACACAAATACTGCTCAAATTATTTCACAAAATATAAAGAGAGGAACATGGTCCAATTCATTGACCTAACTAAGTAAGAACCCAACAAATAAAGAGAACTACTGACCAATTTCCCTCATGAACATAGATGCAAATTTTCTCAATATGTTAAAAGCAAAAGATCCAAGTACACATCAAAATGATCATTCACTATGATCAACTATGTTTCATCTTAGCGATGTAGGAATGCTTCAACAGATGAAAATCAGTAAATGTAATCCACCATCTAAAGAAACTGAAAGAAAAAGAACACAGGATCATCTCACTGAATGCAGCAAAGGCCTTTGCAAGATTAAACACCCCTTTATGATGGAAGTACTGGAGAAATTGGAGATATAAGAGATGTACTGCAGAATACTAAAGCAAGTTACATCAAGCCCAGGCCAACATGAAATTAAATGAAGAGAAAATCAGGAACAAGGCAACTGGTTCCAGCTCCATATTCCCCACTGCTAAGAGTATTAGTTAGGGACACCGTCATTGATTTCTGTGAGTTTCCATTGCTCTAGGTTTCCAGATCATCACAGAGATGGCCCCAGATTCCAGTTCTCTCTCCCAATATTCCCTGCAGGGAACTGATCTAATCCATCTGCATATGTGTTACAGTTGTGTAACTTAGTCTTCTTGTGGGACTACTAACAGTGGGATTTTGCCTGATTTTGAGACCCATTACTCCTACTGGTTTGCCTCCTTTACTCTTAATAGAAGAGGAATAGCTCAGGCTTACCGCAACTATATACAATGGATGGCTGATATCCATGGGAGGCCCACATGTATCTGAAGAGAAACAGGGGAGGAGTACTGGAAGGGTGTGTTGGGAAGTGGAAGGAGTGGAGGACCTGGGAAGAAGGGAGGGAGGGGAAACTGAAAAACACAAATAAATAAACACACACACACAAAGAAATTATCTGTGGGGAATACCATAATGGTGCATAAGGTATTAGACATTAAGGTACTAGACATTAGTTTTGGTATGTGCATTATGTTCAAATAGACAAATCCATAAAAAGAATATAAGTATCTACTCCATTAAGGTTAAAGTATTTTGGTCTCTTTTTAATTTTCCAACTTTTATTTAAAACATATTCTTTTCTCATACAATAAAATCTGATCACAGCTTTCCACCCCTCAACTACATCCAGTTCCATCCAATCTTCCCTCACATTAAGGTTCACTTGATTATTTTCTGTCATTAGAAAAAAATGAGCTTCTAAGATGTAACAACAAAACATAAAGTAAAATACAATGAGCTAAACCCAAACCCCGTACATCATAGAATCTAAGTGTTAAAGTCCAAAGAGTTCTGTGCCTAAGTAGCACATCCCTTACAGGATAATAAACATCATGCACATATCCTGTTTGGATATCTCAGTTCATCTTTATAAGTTCTTAATGCATAAGTGATATTTTCTATGCATAAGTGATGGAAGAATTTCCTAATTTCACTGTCAACTGAATTATGTCAGATGTTTCAGTCTGTCTTCTACTGCACATGACTCAGAAAGAAATAGTAATGGTTATCAATCTTCATTGATCTGCATATTTTGGTGTATCATAAAAGGAAAGAAACTCTGAAACACATAAACTAGGCAAGGTAGAATCTACTCATTTCCTTTGGCTTGGTAAATCATACTGTCTCAACCATTCTGCTTGGTTTCATCCAGCATGGGAGTTTAGCCCCTTCTTTTTCCCACTACACTTGGAATGTCATCCTCTAATGTAGCATATTTACAACAAACTCATGGTTTTCATATGAAAAGTTTATTGCTTCATTATTGTGGCCAAATTAGCCAAAGAGAACTTCATCCCTGAGCTCTTCCTGCTTGTTTTTTTAGCTGAAATCATGGTGCCTTCGGGTGCAGAAGAAAATCTATAAACATATTTTCCAGCTTGTTTTTCACCTGAATGTAGGGCCCCAGATGCAGAGCCCGAGGGTAGAAAGAGTCCCAGAATAAGAAACTGCTCAGAGTGATTACTGTGACAGCCTCACCCATCAACAAAGTTAGAAGTACATATGATCACAAACACCAGAGCTAAGTAAAAACCTGCTGGACACTGTGAGATCTGGATCCATCAGATTTATGTCTGAGCAGACACGTGTGTTAATAGGATGTTTTCTTTTATTTACTATTATCAGGACCTTGTCTAATCACAGTTATGTATTTGCCTACAGTTTCTCTGAGTGTTATGTCAGAATCAAAGAAGAGTTTCACCATGAAGGAGATGTGGTCATTGGTGTATTTTTCCCAGTTCATACTATCTACACAAGCAACAAAGTTCCACATCCTAATCTGCCATACTATTTCACCGACGTTCGCATACAGTAAGTGTCGCTACTCATTTGTCCTCTTTCAGATTTCATATTACATATGACCCAGGTGATATATGTATTCAAACCTCCAAACTTCCATTTTTTATGAAGAAAAACTCTTTTCCAATTCAAAATTTCTTACTTAAACATGTTACTCTTCGTTTATTTTATTTTCTCAAAGATGATAGAGTAAGTTTTCTTGTTTGTTAATTGATGATTATTCTCAATTATGATTACAAAATTGTAATTCTGAGATCTTACTTGGCCATGACTTTACAGCCACATGCTTTTCATGTTAGGTTTTCAGAGGAAAGATGGTTTTATCAAAGTTTGACCTGCCTCTTCAGGGCAGTGTAGAAGTCAAGATGTACTCCTGTGAAAAGAGGTGATGCCCCCAAAAGCTGTTACTACAGAGAGATGTGATGGTAGAGTCACAAGATGCCACTGACTTAGGAGTAAAAGTGTCAAACATAGAAGTTGGGAATGGTTCTTTGTGTTTAGACATCTCTGTCTGTCTTCAAGGTTCTTTTAATTAAATTCATTATTTGGTAATCTTTTACTCTGAGACACTTTTTCCTTTTTACATGTTTGCTCCATGTATCTTAAATGAGTTTTTTTTCTCATTTCCATGGGTGTGTTCATAAGATACATTGCCTTGAACATGACCACATGGGACTTGTTTTTTATTGTCAGAAATAATATCAAATAAGTTTGTGGTAAGAAAATACTTTTGTACTACAAAAGATTAATATGTGTGCCTTACCCCCTTTCCTTTTCTCCCTCAAAATCTACCATTGTACAACAAATTTCCTAAATTTTGTCATACAAGTTAGGGTACAAGAAGTATATATATCTCAGAACTAACATCATTTTGTAGGGCTTCTGATTACATCTTTTATTACAGTATGAGAGTGCATATAAATGTTCAAAGAGGGAAAGTATCCTTTCTCTGATGCTCTCTTTATCTCTATTCAATTGATTCTGAATTATTACATGCCTAGAAATACTCATCTTAGTGATCAACAGTAGAAAATATATATGCTGTGGGCAGGAATTTTGCTGCAGTAAATTGGTTTTTTGTGTGTTCTAAATTACTAAATGGATTTTACTTTAAGACTGTCATAACTATTCAGAAAAATATAATTATGAACATTAAAGTTTTATACCGACTTCCAGATTAATGTATGTGATCTTTTAGGGGCAATATGACTTAGTCTATTGGAATACACATGGTACAGACTTTTCAAAGCATTTTTACCACAATTTTCCATGCATACTTATGCCTCAGTTCTCATATGCAGGTGAAAGCTCATCTGTGAAAGGATAAAACTTCACCTCCTATCATGTGTGTGTTGAGATCAAACACATATAATACTCAGTGCAAAGATTTTGCCCTGGGTAAATCATATTTTCTCTCAAATGGCAAAACCTGTTATATATGATAACTGGTATCCTTCCAAATTAAAATTGGTATTATCTCTATAAATGTATGAGATGAAGAACATGTCCCTCCCATTTACTTAAAAATGTGGGTTTTTTTGATATGTCAAAATAGATTTCCCAAATTCTGCAAATATTTCTTATGTTTATGATGTGATATAAATTCATGTATCATATGAATTTTATCTTTCTCGATTTGGATGTTAAGAGTTTTTGTCTTCTACTATAAATATATGCCTTTTTATGTGAAGTTTCACACATCATGATCCAAAAATATTTTCTTGCAGCTTATTTTAAAATATGTTGCAGTGCAATGCTTGTTTTAAATTTTTTACTACTTAATTCATCTTTGAAATTATAATATAGTTGGAGCATTTCTCTTTTCCTTCCTTACCTCCAAACCTTCCCACATACTCTGCTTCCTCTCTTTCAAATTCATGGGCTATTTATAAAGTTGTTACATGGACATATATTTCTATAAATACATACACATACATTTTGTGTGTGTGTGTGTGTGTGTGTGTGTGTGTGTGTGTGTGTGTGTTCCTAAACATAAGCAGATCAGAATATATAAAGCTATATCATTGTATATTTTTGAGGTCAACCATTTGATATTTGATATTTGATTGGGTTGCTTTTCCCTATATAAGATTATTTCCCTGACTCTTAAAATTCCTTGGTTGCCTATAGTTCTTTGTTTAGGATTAAGACCTTCTGGTCTTTCTCCCAGCTACCTTGGTATGCCTAATACTCTCCTGCTCATGCATATCATGTAGAGCCAGTTTTGTTCATGAAACATTCAGGACAAGACATTAATTATCAAATACCCCAATTTTTGGACAAATTCCTAAACTTGGACTGACAAAGATTTATCAACATTGCTTTTTAATAATTGGAATGACCATTTATATTATATTTTTAGGACAAATATTTAAGGGCAACACTACATACATATAAATATAAGTACATTTTATTTTTCAGAATTGAAAAACAAGCAATAAAGAGATATAATTATCAATTTTCTGAAGCATAGCTCAGACAGAGAAACTCATCATGCATGTTTTCCCTCATGTGTCCTCCTTCTGTATATTAGCAGTGAAAGTGCTCTACCACTAACTCTGTCATAATTCTGAGTTCTTCCCTCTATTGTTGCCTGTGGCCTCATTACTGATGTCCCTCTTTTTATGACTTGAAGCTTTGTGGCCATTTCTCTTCATGTGGGCAGAGTGATCCTTGAATGTTCTCTACATCCTTTTATGAATGTCTATGTGGACTGCTTTACTTCTAGTATCCACTTACGAGTGAGTACATGCCATGTTTGTTTTTCAGTGTGGGAAACCTCTCTCAGAATATTTTCTAGTTCCATTCATTTGACTGCAAATTTCAAGTCATTGTTTTTCTCTGCTGAGTAGTACTTCATTGTGTATATGTACCACATTTTTTTAATCCATTATTCAGTTGAAGGGCATCTAGATTGTTTCCAGGTTCTGGCTATTATAAAGAATGCTGCTATTAAAATAGTTGAGTGTGTGTCTCTCTGGTAATATTGATCATTCCTTGGATATATGTCCAAGAGTAGTATAACTGAGTCTTGAGGAAGATTGATTCCCAATTTTCTAAGAAACCACCAAAATGATTTCCAAAGTGGCTGTACAAGTTTTAACTCCCTATGACAGTGGAAGAGTGTTCCCCTTGCTCCACACCCTCTCCCCCATAAGCTGTCTTCAGTGCTTTTGATCTTAGCCATTCTAACAGGTGTAGGATGGTATCTCAGAGTCATTTTGATTAGCATCTCCCTGATGACTAAGGATGCTGAGCAATTCCTGAAATGTCTTTGGGACATCTGAAATTCTTCCTATGAGAATTCCGTTTAGTTATATGGCCCATTTTTTAAAATTGGATTGTTCATTATTTTGATGTCTAGTTTTTAGTGTTCTTTATATATTTTGGAGATCAGCCTTCAGTAAGATGTGGGTTTGGTGGGTCCCCATTCTGTAGGCTGTCGTTTGGTCTTAATTACTGTATCTTTTGCCTTACAGAAGCTTCACAGTTTCAAGAGGTCCCATTTATTAATTGTTCCTCTCAGTGTCTGTGCTACTGGTTTTATATATAAGAAGTGATCTCCTGTGCCAATACATTCAAGACTACATCCTACTTTCTCTTTTATCAGATGATCAAAGATCAAGATCCACTTGGACTTGAGTTTTATGCATGGCAATAGATATGGATCTATTTACAGTCTTCTACATATTGACGTCCAATTATGCTAGCATTATTTATTGAAGATGCTTTCTTGTTTTCATTGCACAGTTTTGGCTTCTTTGTCAAAAATCAGGTGTTCATTGGGGTGTAGGTTAATGTCAGGGTCTTAAATTCAATTCCATTGTTCCACAAGTTGGTTTTTATGCCAATACCAAGCTGTTTTTATTATTATAGCTCTATAGTAGAGCTTGATGTCAGGGATCATGATGCCTACAGAGGTGGCTTTGTTGTACAGTATTCATTTAGCTATTCTGTGTTTTCTGTTTTTATAAATGAAGTTGAATATTGTTCTTTCCAGGTCTGTGAAGAATTGCTTTGGGATTTTGATGGGGATTTCACTGACTCTGTAGATTGCTTTTGGTAAGATTGTCATATTTATTATGTTAATCCTACCTATCCATGAGCATGGGAGAACTTTCCTTCCATTTTCTGATATCTTCTTCAATTTCTTTCTTCAGAGACTCAAAGTTCTTGTCATGCAGGTCTTTCACTTGCTCAGGTAGAGTTACCCCAGGGTATATTATATTATTTGTGGTTATTTATTTATTTACTTATTTATTTATTGGTTTTTGGAGACAGGGTTTCTCTGTGTAGCTTTGCTCCTTTACTGGGACTCACTTGGTATCCCAGGCTGGCCTCAAACTCACAGATTTCCGCCTGCCTCTGCCTCCCAAGTGCTGGGATTAAAGGCGTGTGCCGCCACGGTGATGTTTCTCTGATTTCTTTCTCAGCCAAATTATCATTTGTAGATAAGAGCACTACTGATTTTTTGAGTTAACCTTGTGTACTGCCACATTACAGAAGGTGTTTATCAGCTGTAGGATTTCCCCCTATTATATTTGGGGTCACTTATGTATACAATGATACCATATGCAAATAGTGAAAGTTTGACTTCTTCCTTTCTAAGTTTTATCCACTTGATCTCCTTTTGTTGTCTTATTGCACTAACTAGAACTTCAAGTAATATATTGAATAAATGTGGGGATAGCAGACATCCCTGTCTATATTTTGATTTTCTCAAAGAACCAACTCTTTGTTTCATTGATACTTTGTATTGTTCTCTTTTTTTCTATTTTATTGATTTCAGCTCTCAATTTCATTATATCCTGGCATCTATTCCTCCTGGGTGACTTTACTTCCTTTTGTTCTAGAGCTTTCGGGTGTGCAGTTAAGTCACTAGTGTGAGATTTCTCCAGTTTCTTTATGTGGGCATTTCTTGCTATGAAATTTCCTCCTAGCACTGCTTTTCATAGTGCCCCATAAGTTTTGGTATGTTGTACATTCATTTTCATTGAATTCCATAAAATCTT